CGGACCTAATACTGAGCATACACGTGAGGCAGAAATTGTTAAGATGTGTGTGGGTTTGTTACAAAGTCCCACATCGAAGAATTGGAGCGGTGTAAAGCAGTTAGCGTATCATAGTTGGTCCACAATTCATTGGTTTAAGCTTTTGAACAAATGTGGGTTCAACTAAATATGCCAACGTGCTGAAACTTAGGCTCATTCTTGGCGATCTCACCACCTGAAGGTATCAAACTTTTGTTGTGCGCTCCAAAACCAAGTGATGGAAGGAAAATTACTTAGAGCACCTTTGGACAAGAACATTAGAATCGGACATGCCCCCTCTTACCTTCATCTGCTTTGGTTTTTAAGTATGCCATGCACTCGGGACTTTCTTTGCTTCAAATTGTCTCACTACCCACAAGAATAACTTATCATGCCATAGCGATGTAGAAAATTGCCAAAAAAAATCACAAACCTATTGCACGTATGTCAATTAAGTCCTAAACCATTTAATTGTGCTGATTGAGTCCTAAACATTTACATATTTTGCTAATTAAATCCATTAAGCCAATTTTGGTCGAACATAGCTAATGTGGACGCCGGCTGTTCTACGTGGCATGGCCGAGTAGGATAGCCGACACTGACGTGAAATTTTGTATATAATATTTTAATTATATTGTAATTTTATACCCGGGTGACGACCGGCAACGCCGTCGTGGCCTGGGCGAGGGCTGATCTCGTCAGATCTGGTATGGCAGAGAAGGAAAAAAAGAAAAAAAATCAAAAGAAATATTTTAAAAAATCGAAAAAATATTAAAATATTATTAAATATTGTCCACGTCAGCGCTGACGTGCCACGTGGGACTGAGAAATTAATAAAACATCGCCACGTCAGATTTCCGGCGACCCAAATCAAAATTGACACTTAAGTGATCGTTTTTTTTTTAAGTAGCACTTAAGTGATCCGAAAAAAACTTTTGGCACTAAAGTGAGCACCTTACACAAGTTTTTGTACTTCTAGTATTCTTTCCCCTAGTAACCCATATCTAATGATTGTGGGTTATAAGTTGGTTGGGTTTAGTTTTAAAAATAGAATTAAATGGGTCATTGATGGGTTGCTTATCAACTTAATGGGTCTTAAATGGGCATTAGATGAGTCATAAATGGGTTATCCAATAAGCTTAAGTGAAATTTTCAATGTTTTTAATTTTCTGATTTTTGTAATTTTTATATTCTTTTTAATTTTTTTCTTTTTTTCTTTTCCTTTTTCCTTTTCTTTTTTTATTTTTTCTTCTTCCCCCGTCGGAGGCCGGCGAAGCTCGGGCTCACCGCCCACTAGCAAGCCTCGCTGATCTAGCAAGGCTTGAGCTTGCCGATCGAGGCCTCAGCCTCGCCAGTGGCCGGCCACCGGCCAGGGAAGAAAAAAAAGAAAAGAAAAAAGGAAAAAGAAAAAGAAAAAGAAAAAGAAAAAGAAAAAGAATTAAAATATGATTCTTTAAAATAAATATTAAAATATTAAAATGAATATATAGAGGAAAATATGATTTTTCAAACGGCGGAAAATATTTCTAATTCAGTTCCAGGTTTCAGCCAAATATTGAAAAATATTGTCATTTTCCTAAAATCATTTTCTAGAAATGTTATATTTTCCGCGAAACAAACGGAACCTCAATTTTTTTGAAAAGATTTGTATTGCATGAAGATGTTTTAGCAATACAATTTTTTAAAGTAATTATAAAAAATAAGCTTTCCTAGATTTAGTTAAATAGGTCGGGTCGAATATGGGTCAAGTATGGGTTGGGCCGGGTAGGGGTCAAGATTTTTGCCTTATGATAAATGTGTCATAAACGGGTTAAATTGGTCAAGTTGGGTCGGACCATTTATGACCCGACCCTACTCGCGCATTTAACTAGGGGTGTCAAAAAAGCCCGAGCTGACCCGGCCCGGCCTGATCCGGCCTAACCCGACCCAAAATTTTAGGGTATTTTAGGGTCAGGTCTTATTTTCTCTGGGTATGGATTTTAGATGTGGGTATTTATTAGGATCGGGCCGGGCCCGAGGGTTTTTTGACCTACCACCAAATATAACCCTTCTTCCCTCCCCCTTTGCTCTCGTCTCTCTGGCGGCCATGAATCTCTTCTCTCTCCCCCCCTTCGCTCTCTCTATTACTATATCTCTGTTATTTGTCACGAAGCCGCCGCTCCAAATCCCGTCCTCCTCCGAAGCCGAAGATGGGAGGTCCGTACTCCGGCGGCGATCTTCGATCGCCGGGACCGTTCCCATGGCGAGAACGGCCGCCACACCCCCGAATTAGACCGCTCCGCCGAGCACCGCCGCAGCCCCTCCTACGACACCTACGACCGCCGCGAGCCCGATCGCCGCGGCCGCAGCCCCAGCCCCTCGTACGATCGCTACGACGACAGCCGCGACAGCTCGAGCAAGCGGCCCCGGCGGCGGGTCTCGCCTCGCGACCCGGACTCCAGAGGAGCCCTAGGGCCGACGGCGGATCAGGAGGAGGAGGACCTGAAGATGGCGCTGCGCCTCAGCATGTTGCACTCGCCGCCGGAGCCCAAGCAGAGCAAGCCCAGGGACGCCGCCGCCGCCGCCGCCTCCTCGGCCGCCGCCGCCGGGGGCTTGTCACCAGAGGACGACCGCCGGATGTAGAGGGAGCTCATGGCCGCCGCGGCCGAGAAGAGGATGCTGGCCGCGAGGAGCGCTGGAGCGGCGTCGCCTCCGTCACAGTCCCCGTCGCTGGTGTCGACGACGCTGAATAATGAGAAGTCTAAGCGTCTCCCGAGGAGAGACGGGGGATTCGGTGTGGATGATGAGCGAACTGGGAGGGGACTGTCGAGCGAAGAAGCGCATCAGTTGTGACCCTAAACCCGACCCGGACCAACCCGACCCGACCCTATTCTTGGAGTATATGCTGAACAGGGTCTTGGGTCGGGTCGGATCGAGTCGGGTCGAGCGTGACCCTGTATATTTCGGGTCGGGTCGGGTATCATGAAAGCCTGACCCAACCCGACCCATTGACACCCCTACATTTAACAGGTCTAGTATAAATCAATCCCCAATAAGTGTCTAAACATTTTGACAATTTACAAATGTAGTCCATCCACCCAATTTTAGCTGGAAATCACTGACATGGACATCGATCGTACTACGTGGCATGGCCGGCATTGAATTGATCATTTTTGCAATATTTAAAACTTTTTTTTGAATTTTTATAATTTTTATAATTTTTTATTCTTTTTTTTAAAGTTTATGTATCACATTGAATAAATTAAAAGTTCAGTGATCATATTACACATTGGATCAAAGTTCACGTACCAATTGTATCATTTTCCCTACTATATAAAAGACAGAAATGAGGGCGATTGATACTTGTTATCGTACCAAGAAATTATTATGTATGGAATCCCAAATCTTGCCATTTTGAAATGTGAATCTATCGTTTGTTTAATGTTATCTTATTGCCCAAGAATCATCATGCACCAAGTTATGAATTATAAGAATTTCTCCACTATCTTATAGTGTCAACTGGTTCCACGATATTAGTAGGAAAAATGGGCAACAATTTCGTTGAAGATCTTCAATTGTGATATTTCTATTTATTGTTGCCTTGAGAGCAACTAGTGCCGTACAATCTATAACATAATGTAGGCATCATATTCCATAGTTCACTATAATGTATAGTCCACAACTACTACCGAGGACACCACATTTGGAAGAAAAATTATTACCAAGCGAAATATGTCTACTAATATTTATTCGCTTACTTTCAAGTTTTAGAGTCGCTTGCATTGAGGCTACTGTTCAATTTCATTAGCTTGATACATGAAATTTAATTGCTTTAATTGAGGATCACTTAACCTTTTCTATGGTCTATATACCAATGACAACTAACTTGCCTGGTTATGCATAAAAAAAGGACCACATAAGGGTACGTATGGAGCTAATATGGTGTCCAAGTGATTCAAGGTGCGCACAGAGAAGGAGAGAGAGAGACAATGAATCCAATTAGGTTGTACGACCCTACTTAAGGATCAAACCCTAGTTGGCTTCAGCAAGGATTTAGGCAACATTGAATTGTCACGTAACCTTCACTATATCTAGTTGGTTGTGCAACCACAGCCTCTGCGAAGATTATTGCCCTCGTCGTTGGCCCTAATCTATGGATTAAGAGAGGGTCATGCGACCATGAAGCGAGTAAAATTAGGTTATGTAAGTTACTAATCGTGTGAAGGAGTTAAAAAGTTTTGATAGATTTGAAAGTTGTTAATGTGTCATAATGACAATTTACCAGTAATCTTATCAAAATCTTACTAGCGTATTCTTTAGCTCATTTGCATATGCCAACAAAAATAGCAATTCGACAAAAAAAAAGGGTTAATACCACGAAAACTACAAATCGGTATACCTATAACAATTTTACCCCAAATTGATACACTTGTGACAAATTTACTCTCAGTTTGTTTCCGTCAAATTTTGCTGTCAAATTGCTTTATTAAATGACACGCGACAGTTAACTGATGTACCAATTTTATGTTTTACCCTCCATTTGTTACAGGTGTACCGATTTATATTTTTTTTTGTATTAATTTAATTTAACGGAAATTAACGGATGGTAAATTTGTCATAATTGTTTCAGTTTGAGGTTTTGAGTGATTAAAATATTAGTTTTGGGTAAATTTATCACTGGTGTACCAGTTTAGAATTTTTTGTGATCAAAAAAATAATTTAGAGTAAAATTGCCATATATATATATATATATATATATATATATCAGTTCAGGATTTTTCGCGATATTTAAAAAAAAACAGAAACAGCAATTAAAGAATCCAGGAAAGTTAAACTCGTCAGTTGTCATGTAGATTTTGTCAATGCCGTGAAGTGCAATGTTGTACACGTGGCAAGCATTGTGTGCAGAAGGACATTTCCACCAAAACATTCATACAGTCCACACATTTCTTGGCCTACATGTTTCGCAGCCCAGACGCAGGAACACCATTATCAGAAAGTTCCTCCACAGATTGAGAGAGAGAGAGAGAGAGAGAGAGAGAGAGAGAGAGAGAGAGAGAGCAGAGAGAATGGAGAAGCGTGGCGGTGAAGCAGTGGAGGGGGTGACAGTGAGCAACAAGCAAGTGATACTGAGAGAGTACGTGAGCGGGTTTCCCAGAGAAGATGACATGGAAGTGGTGCTGAGGAAGGAGATAAAGCTGGAAGTTCCCCGAGGATCCAGCGCAGTGTTGGTGAAGAATCTCTACTTGTCCTGCGATCCATACATGCGCCTCCTCATGAGCCCCACCCTTCCCAACAGCATCTTCTCTTCTTACGCTCCTTGCTCCGTAAGCCATCTCTCTATCCCTTTTAGTTTTATCAACAACTACAACTCTACGCTGATTGTCTCCGTCTTGGGAATATATCTTAGCTTATTATCCTTTAATTGAGCTCAACCTCGACTCAATTAATACTCGATAATTAAACTCGAATGCTTAATACTTTTTTTATATCTATTATTCATATGTAAAGTATTCGATTAGGCTCGTCTCTAAGTGAATTATTTTCAAACTCAAGCTCATCTCAATATAGAACTTGATATGCTTTAACTCAACATTATCGAATCTAGCGGAGTTCGAGTATCCTGTGAGTCAAACTTGAATGGCTTATATGTAGCTGGCTAGACTTGCTCACACTCATGATCGGGTGCACACGCACTCGACTAAAACCATGAAGATCACATGTACGTTTAGATTAAAAAAAGAAAAAAGAAAAAGCAATGTCGGGGGAAACTAGGTTGCTCATCACATATTATAATTTAAATATTTTAGAAATAAGGTGGGATCCATGTAGAGGGTGGTTGTTGAGTGAATGGAGAAGAAATTGGATCATGTATCAAGTGCAACCTTAAAGTTTTGGCACTTGAACAAACAACTTTTCGCCAACCTTTTTCGGCACACGTTTTTTGTGCATTTTTCATTATCGTGTCCCTTCATGTTCACTATTTTATGATAGTGAGTGGCCCCAAATTCGGCTATTTCTGATTTTGAATCATGCATGTCCATTATCTATTCGCTCAATTGTGATAAAAGAGTTCATTATAAGCAGATAAAATAGAAATAAACTAAAAGTATCTTTCTATTATTTGCAATATAAGAGAAAGACCAAAAGTCAATAGACAATTTTTTTTTTTGGGTAAGTAAGTTACCTAATTACCGAAAAAAAGTCATAAACATATTGTGCGAATACCAATTCGGTCATAAACCCTTTTAAATTGGCCAATTTAGTCCTAAACCTTTTAACGATTTGTCAATATAGTCCTTCCTGCCAATTTTAACTGGCAATCGGTGACATGAACGATGACATGAGCATTTTTTTGCATTTTTTTTAAAATTTTCTAAATTTTTTAATAATTCTTTTCTTTTTTTTCTTCTTTCTCCACTGGTTGCCATAGTCGGCAACCTGCCACAAGTCAGGGCTGGCAAGGCCCAACCTCACCAAATCCAGGTTAGCGAGGTCGAGCCTTGCCTAAGGTTGGCGAGGCTTGACTTCATTGGGCTCAGGCGAGGGTCGACCTTGCCAGCCTAGAGTGAGGTCGACCTTGCCTGTGGTGGTCACCAGCCATCTCCAAGGCTCTGTGATAGGTGAGGAAGAGGAAAAAAATTTAAAAAAAAAATGGAAAACTCAAAATTTTTAAAAAGAATTGAAAAAATATTTAAAAAAAGCGCAAAAAAGTGTCCACGTTAGTGTTTGCGGTGCCATGTAGAACAACTGACATCACATCACTAATTGCCAATCAAAATTGGCCGGAAAGACTATATTAGCAAATCATCAAAATGTTTAGAATTAAATTGGCCAAATTAAAAGGCTTCGGACTAAATTAGCATCTGTTTGATAAATTTAGGATTTTTTTTGGTAAGTTTCCCTACAAATCCATCATTAGCCAAAATCCCCAATACATATAAACAAAAGTTCCTCAATCCAAAATAGCCCAAAAAAGAGACTAATAGCTCGAGGCAATCAACAACAAAAAAAAAAATCAATAAGAACAGCTAAGCTTTGACATCACTAAGGAAACAATAAGCAACTAATGATCAATCCTTTAAGCCAAACATAGTGTCTAATCAGATATGTCTTGACTAGATATATGACCACCTATGCTCAGTAAAAAATTGTTGAGGAGTGTGAAGATGGGCCATACCAACTGTCAATTAAAGAAATTAAATGAGGTAATCGTCGATCCAAATTGTCCACAAAATTCTAGTCATTACAATGAAAAGTTAGGTTGCGTGGCAGAAACTGTTCCATTTGAATAGCATTGTATGTATAAAACAATGTGGTTTAATCATCTCTGTCCCTCCCACTTTATACATTCTTTATTTTCTTCTCTATTCACTCAAAAACCATCGGTCTCCCTGATGCAGCAGAAACGATTGAAACACGGATAAATCAATCACTAACACGCAAGAAGGTGCAAAATCCCTCAAGGGCAAATTTCTAGAGAAAAGAACAAATAAATACCATACCCTGATTCATCTAGTCAAAAATATCCTAATGAAACTCTAAGTTTAAAATAAAGAATAAATAAATTCATAACTGTCAATTTGGAGTTCCGAAAACCGAAGCTACAGAATAGAGCGGGCAAACACGTGTTTTTTTTTATTATTATTTTACAATTATTGAGAGAAAGAACAGGATCGGGAATACTTAAAAATTCATATTAGATAATAAGGGTGCGTCAAGCTCCTTTCAAAGAACATTGACAGAGAACAGACGTAATTAAAGAGACCCGTACTTCAAAAGAATCATCGATCTTTCTCTGAGCTCCACACATTGGACTAGTCAGTCCACAGGATAATAAAGAACCTTGAGCACTTAAAGAATGGTCTTGCAGCTCATGTAGAAAATAAAGCCAACACTCGAAAGTATTCATAGAGAACTCAGGATGATGTTTAAATGCAGCCTATCACTGGGTATGGAGTGGCCAAAGTCGTGGACTCCGGGAACCCAGAATTCAAGGTGGGCGACTTAGTTTGGGGCACGACAGGATGGGAAGAGTACAGCCTCGTCACCGATCCTCAGGGCCTCTTCAAAATCGAGCACACAGATGTGCCTCTTTCTTACTACACCGGCATTCTTGGTAATGTTCTTTATTTGTTTGTTGGTGAAGAACAATGCAGATCAGTGGTGCCTCGATTAGCTGATTTTGTCGTGTATCTTTTCGTTAGGTACGCCGGGGATGACCGCCTATTTCGGCTTCTACGAGGTGTGTTCCCCTAAGAAAGGAGAGTGCGTCTTTGTATCGGCGGCGTCCGGTGCAGTTGGACAGCTTGTGGGACAATTCGCAAAGTTGGAGGGATGTTATGTTGTCGGCAGCGCTGGAAGCAAAGAGAAGGTTCGCAATTCTGCCATGTTCCAAACTGTGTACGAGACTCGCGAGTTTGGCGGGGCTGAACTCAAGAATTCTTTAGAAGCTGTTTTGTATTCTCTAGTTCCAAGCTATAGAGGTGAGTCTCACTTTAAGCAAATTGTGTACCTCTCACTCGTACTGCTCTCTTTTTGTCTCCACACACAGGTTGATTTGTTGAGGAGCAAGTTCGGTTTTGACGACGCATTCAACTATAAAGAGGAACGCAATCTCGATGCAGCTTTAAAGAGGTTAGTAAGTAGGCACATCCATATCCAAAAAACTCAATGTAGAATCAACGTCTGTTTTTGTTGGTGGCTTGTTATCCAAAATGTCCAAAAGCTTTATGCAGAGACATGTCCTTTAAACTAGGATGTGACTTTAAGGTGGTTGTAAGTAGCTGCAGCACAAAGAGAACATAAAAGAGAATACAAGAGTTTTCATAACAATTTGTATGTTCGCACTATTGACAGATATTTTCCCCAAGGGATTGATATTTATTTTGAGAATGTTGGGGGGAAAATGCTCGACGCGGTGCTCCTCAACATGAGAACTCGGGGCAGGATAGCCGTGTGCGGTATGGTGTCACAGTACAACCTCGACCCACCCGAGGGCGTCACCAACTTGATGAATATTGTGTACGGCAGAGTCCGGATTGAGGGATTTGCGGTCTTCGATTACTTCGACCAGTACTCCAAGTTCCTGGACTTTGTGGTGCCTCACATCAGGGAAGGGAAGATAGTGTACATCGAAGACATAGCTGAGGGGCTTGAGAATGGACCGTCGGCTCTGGTCGGACTCTTCAGCGGCCGCAATGTCGGAAAACAAGTAGTAGTAGTAGCAAGAGAATGAGGACAAAAACTTCGTGTGTGATGTACAAGATTGTAATGAGATTTAAGTCATAGACTGATGCTGCTACACTCCGCTTTTAGTTAATTGGATTGGTGAATAAATAGCAGGGGCAACGACACTACAAAATATATTTAAACTTTGTTCCATTGGGCAATTGAACATTGAAATTTCTTTTTCAATTGAGCATCTCTTTTCCCAAAAACATAAAAGGTCGATCTGTTGAAGAGAAAGTTTGGTTTTGATGATGCTTTTAACTATAAAGTAGAAACCGATCTCGATGCAACTTTGAAGAGGTTAGTCTCCATCGATTTTGTGACCAAGTCTGAGTTCATTGCCTTGTTCACAAATTTCATGCTGTAATCTTGTGAACTATTGCCAAATATTTCCCTGAAGGCATCGATATCTACTTAGCTCGAGAACGTTGGGGGGAAGACGCTCAACGCGGTGCTCCTCAACATGAGATTTCATGGCAGGATAGCAGCGTGTGGCATGATATCGGATTACAATCTCGACTGGGCCGAGAATGCCATCACTAACTTGATGCACATTGTTTACAAGAGAATTCGTATCGAAGGATTTGATCACTACGACAAATACTCCGAGTTCCTAGACTTTTTGATGCCTTACATCGAAGGAGGGAAGATAGTGTACGTCGAAGACGTGGCCGAGGAGCTCGAGCGAGGGCCTCCGGCTCTTGTCGGACTCTTCAGCGGCAACAATGTTGGGAAACAAGTTGTAGTAGTGTAGCTAGAGAACGAGATCTGTGTTTGGTGTTGATCTACTTTGTTCCAGAGTAGAGTCATGGATCAATGTTGCTCTTGTCCAGTCAGTATAACTGGAACAATCTATGTGACAATAAAAGGATCATTTTTTCAGAGTTCTTTTCATTCGCCATGTTAGTATCACAACATTTAAATCGATCTGCCTTGCGTTGTGAAATTCAATCATAGAGAGAAGTTATTAAATGATCTGTAAATCTTGCATGTCAATATGACGTTAACTATTAACCGTGAGAGTCTTACGATAAGGCCCACGTGATAAACGGATAATATAAACTTGATTGATATGAATATTCTTTCCGCAATATTTGTAGCGTGGAATTTGACCTAAATTATGCTGATTTCACCTAAGTTGTTTTGTTAGAACATGGTCACTGTTTTGGCTGTTGAATTAAAGAAGGTATAACGACACAAAGTGCAATATGATCCTTGAATTTTTTATTAGTTCAACGTTGTTTCTGAGCTTTAACTCAATGTGTAATATTGTCTCTGAACTTTTAATTTGTTTAATGTGACACATAAACTTTTGATACATATTCAAATTAGTCCGTGGATCATAAAAAAATGTTTAATGCTATCCTTCCATTAATTCAAGTTCAGGGATAATATTAAATATTTTCACATAATCAGAGATTAAATTGAATACGTATCAAAAAGTTCAAGCATCACATTATAAATTGAATTGAAGTTTAGGGATCATTTGAGTAATTTTTCCATTAAAGAAAGTCACATGAAACGTAATCGATCTTTTGGGAAAAAAAAATCAAGGGCGTGGAACACGTAAATTCTGAAAAATGATGGGTTCATGATCAGGTCCCGGTCAATACTATCTAGTCCTCTGCTCACTTTCCCACTGTCTCAGTCACACAATTCACAGAGGGACAGAGAGAGAGAGAGAGAGAGTCGGGTTGATGATGGAGAGCCTGCGCGGAGGAGAAGAGGGGGTGGTGGTGGTGGTGGTGAGGAACAAGCAGGTGATCCTGAAGGACTACGTCCGTGGCTTCCCAAAAGAAGCAGACTTCGAAATCAAGACCGGCGACGTGAGGTTGAAGGTGGAGGATGGCTCCGGTGGGGTGATAGTGAAGAACATCTACTTGTCCGTCGACCCTTACATGCGTCTGCGCATGCACAGGCCTCAACCCCATCCCTCCTACTTCTCTTCCTTCTCTCCCAGCTCTGTGAGTTCCTCTCTCTCTCTCTCTCTGAATTTGTACTGACAGAGTTATGAGTGTCGGTGCACAGCTTCAGGGTCTGTTGCATTTTTAAAAAATCAAAAGTTTGAAAACAGAGAATTGGGGAAGCCAAATGGGAGTCACATGGTTTGTTTTGGCAAAAACAACTGCAGGTGATGACTGGGAATGGAGTGGCAATAGTCGTGGATTCTGGTCATCCAAATTACAAGAAGGGTGACTTGGTTAGGGGAATTACTGGGTGGGAGGAGTACAGTGTCATCACAACACCTGAAACCCTCTTCAAGATACAGACAACCGATATTCCGCCTTCCTATTACCTTGGAATCTTGGGTATGAATGCGTGCACATCTCTCTGCTTTTGGCTTATCATACCCGTTAAGCAATTTTATGCTATATATACATCAATAGCCTGTTTCCCAACAGCTTTAAGCTTTTGTGATAATATGGTTTGGTTAATACACATCCTGTTTGTTTTCCTGTTGTTTGGTTATTTAGTCGATGTGGTTATGTCTGCTTCCTGTATTTTGAGTGTAAGGCCGGCATATACTCGAGTGGGTTGTGTTAATAAACATGCTATAAATGCATTGTTGAAATCATTTTATAACGGTTCAAGTTCCCGAGGAAAAATGATTGTGAGCATGTTCCTCACTGACATGCGAGGATTGTCTATGGTCAACCTTGATTCTCTAGCATTCTGTTGACTTCACTGAAGTCTGGATCAAATTCATCTGTTTGGTTCTGCTGTTTACAAAAGATGGCTGAAAAGTGCATAAAGAATGCCTGATATTTATTGTCCATTGGTATTGACATGTATATGGTGTAATCCATTGTTTGTCAGGCAATTTTGCAAACAAGACAGCAGCTTAGCAATTTTCTCACTTTCCCCGCAACTTGAGTTTCTGATTCCATGTTGAAATGCCTTGTTTCGTAGGTGCAACTGGCTTGACTGCCTATGTTGGTTTGCATGAGATATGTTCGCCAGAGAAGGGTGAATATGTCTTCATTTCAGCAGCATCTGGTGCAGTAGGACACCTTGTAGGTCAACTTGCAAAACTGAAGGGCTGCTATGTTGTTGGTAGTGCTGGTAGTGATGAAAAGGTATCTCCATTTAGCAAATTATATGTGCCCTTATGTGAACTCTTTTTAGAACATTGATCATACTCGGAGAAAGTCCATTGTCCATATACACAAACTTTTATGCGAAATTAGTAACTGATAAAACGAGAAATTTAACGTTATCCTTGATCATTCTTGAAACAGCTCTTAAGAGATTGACGGGCTACTTGTCTTCAGATATTTGAAGTTGTTGCCAAACTTACATTATACTTCCATCTTGTTCCATTCTCCCCTCATTACAGCACTTTGTATTTAGTTTAACTTTGTAACTTCATATGTGCTTTAGTTTACTCGTGAAAGTCGGGGCATGAGGTTCTCGAAGATCCACTGGGCCCAAGCATCTCACATTGCCTGTAGTGTCATGGAATTTCCTGGCATTCACTTGTATTTGGAGGGTTGAGTGCGTTGATTTTACATGTTAAGAAGACTAAGCAGAAGCAATTTCAGAGATCTCTCCTTACGCTCATGTTTCCTTTTCGATAGGTTGATTTGCTGAAAAGCAAGTGTGGATTTGATGAGGCCTTCAATTACAGTAAGGAGCAGGATCTGGATGCTGCTTTGAAAAGGTTAGAACATTAGTCTGGACACTCATGAAGATTCTGAAATCATAATGGATTATCAGCTGTAATAGCAACTGGAAAGAGATTTTAATAAAATGGTCACTTTTTAGCATATTCAATATGGAATAGTTCAATCTCCAAATACTAATTCCACATAAAAGTCGGTGCAAAATTTTTTTAATCAGTTACTTAAGCAGTGCTCATGGGTGCCCGTTGACATAATCCTTTATAAAAAGTGTAATTATATTAGTGGGTTCTTGCTTAATGAACTAAGTAGTGCCTGCCCATTATCTGGTCCCGTCAAGAAGCAGAACGGTCGTTACTAACGAGCAGATACATCGGAGTTTATTCCACTTGGCTTCACTAGCTTATTGTAGAAAACATCATTGTGTTTTCTATTATTTACAAACACTACTGAATTATTCATTAGTGAAGGATAGATACCTGACTGCGTCTAGATGAATGTGCCATGTCTCACATACAATATAAGCATTCCATTTTCCTGACTATAGATGGCTTCGAAAGTATTTAGTTTTAAACAGCTCGATGTCCTTGTATCCGTCACTGTAGTTCATCGAAATATCTAGGGCGGATACTGAAATAGCGGGCATGGCAGGTACTTTCCTGAAGGCATTGACATATACTTTGAGAATGTCGGGGGCAAAATGCTCGATGCAGTGCTGCTCAACATGAGACTCCACGGCAGGATAGCAGTATGTGGAATGATCTCGCAATATAACATGGATAAGCCTGACGGGGTTAAAAATCTTATGCTTATTGTGTATAAACGGTTGCGGATGGAAGGTTTTATGGTAGCTGATTACTATCACTTGTACCCTAAATTCTTGGATGAGGCGATATCTTACATCAGAGAAGGGAAGATTGTGTACGTGGAAGACATAGTTGAAGGGCTAGAGAGTTGTCCAGGCGCTCTCATGGGATTATTTAAGGGGCGTAATGTCGGTAAACAAGTGGTTCGAGTTGGTCAAGATTAAGTAATTGATAAGTAGGCTCTTGGAATTGTTCACAGATATTCCGTAATCATATGCGGCTACTATAGTATGTAATTGGGCAATGCCTGAAAGATTGATCTTGAAATTGTAACGGCATAGCTCTTACCAATTGAGTCCAAATAATTACCCATTATTTGGTTCTGACAATCATAGGGAATTGATAAATAGGCAAGAGCTTTCTGTTTTTTCATCATCGAACGTCTTTTGTACTCGATCAACTGACTTCTGTTAATTTACAATATTCCTTTTACTAAATATAGTTCTCTGGCATACCAAAAAATTGCCATATTACACCCTGATTTACATGGCTATGGCTTCGCCTCCACCAAAATTGCGTACTTTCCATCCCAGAACTTCTAATAACCATCAAAAAAGACTTTCCAACAAGCCACAGTTCTGCACGAAATATCTCGCCATCTTGAGCATGTTTCAGGCTCAATCTCTCAGCATGGTCCCAATATACAGAAGAGTTGCCGATGATGTCTCTAAATATGGAGCAACTTGTTCGCCACGGAGTAGTGCATCACATGCAAATTGGCCACAGCCTCACCTGCCTGTCTCTGTCCAAATTAATAGCAAGAATGTCCATGATTATTTTCATGCTGACAAAAATAAAATGCCAGAAATAGAATAGGGTTCAACAAGTTTCATTGAAAGGCAAAACATCCCATGTTACAAAACTTAATAGATTGAGCTTAAAATAAGCAGTGTCTCACTCTCCTAATTACCTGAGCCAAACAAGAAGTTTTTTCTTCTTTCTACAGGGAACCATATTGGAAGGGCAAGATTTTACCTACTTCAAACTAAACTAAGATGGTGAAACCAAGACCCACCTGAAAAGCACAAAGTACATAAATTAGGAACACTGTCAAAGATTTTACTAGTTCTCTCTTCTAGTCTTAGCTATGTGGAGACTCAAAAGCATAAACAAAATAGTTAAAGGCAAAGATGCAAAATTAAATTTATGCCACTGTGCTCAAAACTAGGATAGGAGCGAAAAATACTGGAGGGGATCCAGTTGGTGAGTCAACCAGTTCACCTAGTCTGATCATGAGTACATCAATTGGCAACTCGTAAGTCATCTCCTATTTTGACAAAATCTATAAATGTACTCTTCGTAATTGGCAACACAACTTACCGCTCACTCGAGCTATCAGAATGCATTCATACAACGAGGTAAAGATTTTGTTCCGCTGCTCTCAATCTGCCCATCTATTATATAATGAAAAGAGATAGTATCGACACTAGTGTTCCTATCTTTAGCATTATTTATTAACGTACCCACTTAGACAATGAAGTGATTGCTTGGACAGACTCGAAAAAAAGGATGGCATTGTCTGTGAGTAAAAAGAAACACTAATTTATTTATTTTTTTGTAATGTTGAGACAAGGACAAAATAAACTCAAACAAGCAAGGCTGATATATACTTCAACCAGGACATAAATTGGATTGATGAGGCACCTTCAGCAACTTCCTAGAGAGTGTGGGATTTGAGATAACCTTAACATGCATCTTTCACCTTCACACAAGACCCAACTGAATCAGGCTCCGTCTATCATTGTTAGGTTCAATCTGAGTTTTGACAACAGAGGGTTGATGATAAAGACGTCGGTTCACCTGTTTGAACTAGCCATTCCAGTCTAAATCTGAAAACATTGTCTGCCTGTTCAACCAGGTAAAAAATCTTGACAGCAAGCTTGGCTGAATAAAATGGAGAGCATTCTAATCAGCAATGCTAATGTGGCCTTTATCATTTACTTCACTAAAAACCAAATTCTGGAACTGTGAACCTTAATGATCATTAGTAATTTAAAGTGTTTTAATGGAAAAAGAAAGACGACAGGACCGGTTCAGGACAGCAGAAAAACACTGGAATGGTGCACGTAAAACAGCTCAAAAAAATAAATATCGACCATGGGATCGTGTTCATACCTTTGGAAGAATAGGGTTCCACCAGATATCATCTCATATATAAATTGATGGATAGTGTACCAGAACATTCACCGTCTCCTTGATTTAGCTCGTATCTTCCCAATCACATAACCCTCCAAATAGGCAGCAGCATCAACTATTCTTGTGTGGCGTGTTATCTCTATCCTCAAAAGATCTTGTAAAGCATTTTGGGTTCTCACCTTATCATTTTCCTCACATATCATGTCTAAAATTATGAGCCAGGTATCGCTGTGAGGTGCTTCCCCATTCTTTAGCAGCAGCTCAACTACTCCACAAGCTTCTTCAATCTTACCAACATTGCAGAAGCCTTTAATCAAGCCATGGGAAACTGAGACATGCGGAGAAAAACCCTTTGATACCATCTCCACCACATAAGTCTTTGCCTCATCATGCATTCCTTGATCACATAACCCACCAACCAATGTGCGATAAGACACCAAATTCGGCATGCAGCCATTTGATGGCATGTCTTCAAGTATTTTACAAGCATCAGCTGCACGCCCTTCCCTGCAAAACCCTAATATAACTGTATTGTAATGTACAATATCAGGGTTGCAGCCCTTGACTTTCATCCTACAAAGAAGCTTGTAGGCCTCCCTAAGCTTCTTTCTCCTGCATAAAGCATTCAACAAGGTAGTATAACTCAAGGCATCAGGGACAAAGCCCTTATTGAGCATATCCTCCAACAAGTCAACTGCTGTATTAACTTGACTTTTCCTGCACAACCCCTGCATCAAAATTCTATACGACTCCACATCTGGAAAAAGGTCTCTCTTAAACATTTGATTGAACAAAGAGTAGGCAATACTAAGATCACCATTTAAACAAAACGCGCGCATTAATATGTTGTACGACTTAGTATTTGGCAAGACCCCATGTCTGTGAGCAATCTTGAAGAGATCAAAAGCTGGGCGGATATAGTTCCGGTGAGAAACGAGTGCCTCAAGAATGTGGTTTAGGTGTTTGGGAGAAGGCTTACAGTTGAACTCAAGCATAGTGTAGAAGATCTTAAGGGCTTTATCAGGAATATCCGCATCCGCATAGATCTTTATAAGGTTCAAAAAGAGAGAAGGAGTGATAGAGTGACAACTGGATTTAAGGCAAATGATAACATCATCAACGAGGGTGAACTGCTTTGCACGGGCCAGTTTGAGGATTAAAATTTGAAAGGAAGCATAAGAGAGGCAGAAATCCGGTTGACGAGAGGCAAAGTCAAAGATTTCTTTTGCAAGGAGGGGGTCTGATTGAGAGGCTATGAGCTTCTGGACCCGAGCAGGGGACCCAATAAAGTAACCGGAACTAGAACGCTCTTGTTCTCTGTTTCGCATCTGAGATTGCGGGTCGCTGGACTCAGAAGAAGAGAAATGTACTAGAGGGTTTCGCCAAAGGATGAAGGACAGAGGAAGAGTTGAACTTTTGGATAGCCCGTGAAGTGGTCGGCGCATAAATACCTTCTCGATCATAGTGTCTCTCAAGGAAAAGAACATGAATCCGCAGCATCTGTCAAAAGTATGGAAAACTTCAGTTATCTGTGTGTGCCAAACATGCATCATGCCTAAGAACAGAGTTCACACTTGTTCTTATTCAGAAATTGAAAATCATAAAACCAATGACCCACTAATTCAAGCTCAAAAGACTGAAGCCTGTTTTCTTCTAATGTCCTAGGAAGCTCTAAAATCTTAGATTGTTTCATAGGTCAAACCGAAACCATGGGACGACACACTCAAAATCCTCAACAGAAAGGTAAGTTTGAATTTGGTGACCGAGAGAGTTAACAGATGTTGCTTTATATTTAAACCCAACTAAGCCCATGCAAAAGTGTAAGTAAAAACCATATCAGAAACCAGTGCTTGAAGCGATCCATGCTAACAAGACTCTACTATGCAAGAAACGACATATCGTGTTTTTCCAATTGAATTTTTGCGAGAGCCCATTGAGAATACAACAGCCTTCCGGCTTCTTAATCTTTTCATAAAAATTATAACCTTGCGCTGACAATCCACGAAAGTCTTACCTCAATGTCCTTGTTGGGGCAGCTTCTTAAGCGAAGGTAACGTCAGAAATCAAGAAATCAACCACGCAACACAAATAACGAAGGGGAGACGAGAATGACAGCCGGAGAAGCTAGAACCGTACATAATCAACGTCGGGAAAAGCAAGAATACATAATTCATCTTTATTGGGCGTAGTTCATTGCCAGGGGTAATTCAGTCGAACAGGTGATGTGCGAGAGATGAAAAGAGAAGCGAAGGGCATACAGAGGCAGCCGGATCAATCAAGCAGTGAGAGACAACAACAATTGGAACAAGAGGACGAGATGCGAAGCAAGAAGAGAAGGGATGAACAATCATGTATCATCTTACTCGGGACGAGTGCGCGCGCCCGAAGAGAATCAACAGACAGTTGAAACTTGAAAGAGGGAGTGCCCACACCGCAGGTGGTCTGGTGGTGCCGGCTTCGGTTTTTGATTATGAAGTTTTCCCATTCTTGGAACAATAATGATAAGTGTGTCGTATTAAAATGTCTTGTAATAAGGTCTGTGTATATATATATGTATATATGTATTTGATTTGATTTTGTTTTGTTTTGTTTTTCATTCATTTTTTCTGCTTTCCGCTCCTTCTCCCCTGAAGTCCTGGATTTTGGTTAATTACATACCATTCCTCAATGGATTGATGTAATTTTTCTACTGCATGTACATTCCCATAGTGATGGTGTTTTTTCTAAGATCAAACTTTGTTGAACGTCTTGTACTAACCATCCCTTAGAAGGTATTGTTAAAAGATCATTAATCCCTAATGAAATGAACGCAAAAGTGGCTTGCTAGAAATCCAGAGTCTTTATTTGATCCAGAATGTGTGATGTGTATGCCATTTCGAAGTGATCTATTAATCTGCTAACAAGTCTTTTGACGGCAGTTCCATCTATTAGTGACCTAAAGTCCTGGATTTTGGTTTATCACCAGGCTATGTATCAAATGGAACCAAGTTCGGTGCTGGACTTGCTGGTACATTTGTCTTGTTGAGATTGTTGTCGGCTATCAAATAGCGTTGGTAAAAACACATCGACAATCAACTTGCATATCCAGCCACTCGTTAGTAACTTATAAAGAGGATTTGATAAACTCTAACTTTTATTTATTGCAGGCATTGATAAGTTCAAAACATAACTAATTACTGTGGTAATCTACTGACATTTATTTTTCTGGCTTATTAACGCCTTTGGAAATTACCAACTTTTATACGGTATTATCAACCTATTAAGTTACCAATTAATTTTAATCACTTATCGAAGGAACCATATTGAGTGGAGTTTTGAAAGTTCGAGAATTAGATTGAACAAAAATAAAAATCGAGAACCACACTGAATGTTTAAAAAAAATGTTCATGACCATAGACATTTTTAAGAGGGATACAAACGTTACTAGCCAAACTAGAAAGCCTTTCTCGTTTCAGTCTACATCGCACAATTACAAGGTTCTGGCAGGAGATGTCACACAGAAGGAGAAGCGATAAAAAGGGGCTTCCGTGAAAATTTTGTGGCAGCATAGATTTTATGTCCCTTCACAGCAAACCAAAATGTGATGACATCGTTGCAATCGCCAGACTAGACCTGGGGTACAATATGCGTCCTGCAAGGAAAAAGTTTCCGGTGCATACAGCCGGGCTAAATGAAAGCACGAATCAGAGTGCCAGCTTGGTGGTCAGCGACTCTCTCATGGAGCTTCACACCTGACTGATGCTGCTGGTTTTCGTTTTCTCCACTCTACGCGCTATGTGAACATCTATCGTTACCCTCACAAGTCTTGGCCTTCCACCAGCATGCAAGATTCTTCGCGCTGAATGCATTGTGAACAATGAGACCTGACAAGGAAAATTAAAACTGGAATCAGGCATTTCAGAAACCAAAGTTCAGCCATTTCAATGCAGGCAAGAGGCATCCCGGCCAACCAAACCATCTTTGAAGCCAGAAGAAGCAAAACTCAGAAATTGGCAGGGTAGCCTAACTTGGAATAGAGCGGAAAGCACTATAAGTCCCATGATGGAAGTTAGGTCTGTTAATGGGATCAAACAGATTTCATCCTCTGGTAAGCACTACCTATTTGGCATTTACACAGAATGAATATGAGTTGTTTCCATATTACGCCTGGAGTATCTCAACTGGGCCCAGACAACCATTTCCTTTCTAATCACTACTAGACTTCAGCAATACTCATGAAATAAAATATGTATTGAACAGAGGATCCAGATAAAGCAAGTAGAAAAATAAAATCAGAAGATCCACTGGAAAAAAATGGAGAGGAAAAGCATGCAAAGTGATGTTAACGCATCAACAGCCTGTCAAAAAATTGAAATTTCAGATGCAGCAAGTCCCGTCAACAGCAAATACAACTTAGTAGCACATAGAAGGGTTCCTCTACCTTCACAAGGATATCCATGTAGAAACTGCCAAAGATGAAACCAACGCTAGCATGCCATAGTACACTAAGGTATCTCCATCGCCAAAACTTTCCAACTTAATATGGAGATCACTCCAAATATATCCAAGAAGACCCTGTTGAACCTGCAGGCATGTCCACTGCCATTTAAATCACCTATATCAACATAAAATCTATGTTAAATTAATCAATTTCATATACCTTGTCTAGGTCACCACTGTCAACCAGATCCGCTTTACGTGTAATTTGTCCCTTCTCATCCTCAATGGACTGGTCTGGAGACATTTTAGTATCACCTTTATGGGATTCTTTTCTTTGGGGAGTTCGGTAAGGTGAATCAGTGTAGATCGTTTCCATCACTGAACCAAAGAAGTTCGTCACAGGCACCTATAGAGAGAGAAAGAGAGAGAGAGAGAGAGAGAGAGAGCTTAAAACACTCCAATTAAATAAAATAAATTTTAAAAATTTTATATGATTAAAGTCGGAAAAAAGAATGAGAATAAGCCACTCATATAAAAAACTTCTAATGCAACTTTATAGTCTGATGTTTCCAAAGAGTTCCCTGTTCTCTTAACCTTCCAACCCCCAGGACCCAGTGATTCATTTCATTATTTCGTTCATGTTTATGGAACATAAAATCAGCTTAACACCAAAAAAGCATGTCCTTTCAAACTAACTGTAGTATTTTTATTTATTTTTTTGGTCGAAGTAACTGTAGTATTAAGCTGCAATGATTTTGGTTACCACCATTTGCACAAAATTACATTAGATAGATTGTTCCAAAACTGCAAAAAAGCCACAGATGCAATTGCATATTTGCTTCAGACTTTAGGCAATGAAAAGCAATCTTTGAAGGACAGTATGGCAGTAAAGCTGACGAAGAGCAGCTGAACCGATCAAATGTAGTAGGTACTGCTTGTGGAAATAATGAGACATTCTGGGAATATTCCCTCCCTCACTATACAGTCCACCTTGTGGGACTCACAATCAAGTGAGAGAGGGAGTATTACAAAAATTCTTCCCCATGACTTGGCAATTACATGTGCTCTTAACACAACCAAGGGAAAAAAATATTCGAAGTTAAAATTTTAAAATCAGGTAATAGACATCATAGAATCAAATGTCTACATTTTCAAGAAACCTCATGCATTTACTCAGCCAAGAGAGCAAATAGAAGGATCCGAAATGATCTAAGAATATTGAAACAACGAAATAGTTTCATACCTCTTCCAGACGTCGTTGATACAAATCTGTTCTGTAATATGCAGTGGACATCAACAAACTAGGGTTGTACGAACTGAAAAGGCTGGAAAGCAACCAAAGATTATGCTTTAGATCAATTTACCAAATATAAACCAAATCATTCTGCACAAATATGGCCATACGCATAATGAAACATTTTAGGAGGACCTTCAAAGATTAAATGAGAAGTCCAATAAACCTCCACCATACTATCAAATATCATCTGTAAATCATAGTTGATAGAGACACAATACTGTGATGTCTAGAAGTACCATTGGGTCGGAAAAAAAAATCATGGACACCAGGAAGGACAAAAAGGATAGAGCTTGAAGTACAACATAAAGCCACAAAAACAAACTGCCTAATATCTACTTCAGTGGCATTGTCGCAGATACCTGCTTAGTGAAGCATTGTCGTACATATTCAGCCTCTCAAAGAAAGCAAGGGTGTAAAAGGTAAAACGATCCACGACTGAAACACCAACCTATCTCCAGAGACAGTAACAATACCAAGGGCATCAGCAAATCCATCTATTATTAACAGAAAAATGCACGAACTGGATCACACCAGTAATTCACTGACCAAAAAATGAATACGCACAATATACTTACATCAGAGTCCATGTGATGTGAGTAGGAGTTCTCTCCTTTCTTGCTACTTCCAATAGCCAAAGCTCCTGGGGAATGAAGCTGCAACATTCAAAGAACATTTCACTTATAAGTGACAAGAAACTCTCTCTCTCTCTGTCTCTCTCTCTCTCTCTCTCTCTCTCTCTCTCACACACACACACACACACACACAAGCACGCACGCTCAAAACAATTTTAGAATGAAATGCTCTTCAAAATAACATGTTTGATGCCATGGAAGCTAAATAGTATGAGGATGCCATATTCACTCTAGTACGATAATAAGGTGCATGGTTACTAACTTCAATAGGATCCAACATTCCAAATCGTAGTCTACCTGTATATTTCTTTGAACTTTCAAGCTTCATTTTCACTAAAAATGGAAGGTTCACGATCACATTGGTTATTCTTCATCTAACCTAATAAATTCAATTCAAATGGTGCAAAGGTGTAAAATTCATTCTTCAGTTGAATACTGAACAGCGATATTGACATGATAATGCAGTGATCCAGATGTTTGATAAAAAAATCATCAGAAAAAAGCAAATGCTTGCAAGGAATGTAATCAATTAGGGGACTCGGAAGAATCTGATAAGCCCCCCACCCCAAGAATCTGATACCTTATAGCATCAAAGACAACCCCAACCATTCTAACAGGCTGAATGGTAGTGATGCACTAACGTGTCTAACGGTCATAGTGATACCCTAGAAAGGAAAAAATAACCTGCCTTTAGGACAATCACACACCTGGTTGAAGAGAGTGGCAGCTTGGCAAGTATCCACCATTATAAGTAGCTCCTTAAACCTACAATAGAAATGATTAAACACCATAAACATCTCCAGACAAAATAGTGAAATGATCAGTTTTTATAAGACAGATATGACAAAACCCAATGAAGCCCGTTCCAATGGTAGAAAGGAAGGACCAAACTAGCTCTTTGAGAAGGCCCTTATGTCAAACTGGCGATATAAGTTCAAATGACACAAGGAATGAAGATGCTAGGCACAACATATTTTATAACTCTTAACAATGTCAAGTCTGAATATGGAGCTCAGTCGAGTAGAATAGTCTCAAGGGGCGTCAATTAAATGGAAGTGAACCTAAATTTTAAATATTCCAGAACAATCACCTCTTTTGTCCAAATTACCTTGAGAACTCTACAAGAATGAAAGGGCATAAGATTATTTATCTGTTTAAAAGCTATCAAGAATCCATCTTGATAAAAGGACTGCCAAAAAAGTACCTAAAAAAAACATGAGATATCACCACAAGTTGAAGGGTGGTCCTTCCTTTCCGATGTTCAGAACATGTAATAATTGAACAGATGGACGTCTCTCATTAGATTGAGGGTCTTACCTCATTTTAATTGTTTCTCCTTATCCTTCTTAATATACTTATTATCATTGGCTCTTTACATACTTTCATTGTCCTAGCTTTGTTGGATAATTTATATTTTCCTATATACTAGAACCCTTATTTAGAAAAATAAAGAACTATTCAATGGCTAATGGAGTGGTTTATTTACAACAAAAAAATAAATAAATCCATATGCATAGATGATTAGTTAAATGTAATCGATCAATCATCTAACCTGCGCTTCTCTTTCATTTGTTTTACTGCATCAGCTAAATCATGACTCTGTAGCTCTTCAGAATCTTGAAACTTTAAAAATTCATCTCCACCATGCCCTGTCATGTAAAGAAGAATGTGGCTTCCTTCATCACTTAAAAGACGCTTGGATCTTGGAACGGATGTTTCATGACGCCCAGTCAACACCCGGAAAAAGTTCTCAACAGTAACTTCATAACCTCGATAATCGACCTGGAAACTTCTCAGTTAACATTGACTGACATAAACATAGTCCCTTTGTAGAACCAGGACATATATGTTGGCTCCATAAAAGGAAAAAAATTTTCCACTATGTAACAGATGGACCAAAAGGCATGTTAATATGCTTCTTAATAGTCACATAACACATTGCATGTACATAGAGTGGCATCTTGTTCCCACACAAATTGTGCAACTTTAAAATGTCAGTAAAAGAAGCAACAATAAATTAATGCATACGACCACGTAAACAACAAATGATCTAGCACGTGCAACAAACTAGGTAAAGAAATGAAGTTCGCTGGATTAACCGCTTGAGCCATCAAATTACACTGTAGGACACATACTAACTAACTAGACAGAAAACCAAAAAAGTCCAAATTGAATCAGCAACCAAGCCGAGCTTGATCTATAAGTTTAAGCCTGGCTTTTAGATTTGAGGTATGCATGGGCATGCATGACATAACCCGTATAAAGGGAAGCTAACTATTTCACTATATACACGTTTTAGGGAAAGAATGAAAAGGTCCATAATACAAACAAATCTCTAAAGTACCTTCACTGTAATTTTTTTCATTTCATGTGGCTTTCATATCTTCTCCATAACATTTATGGAAAAAAATGGCAGGATTTTAAATTATAAGGCTTAGAAGCCCAAAAGCGCAAATGATAAAGTGGAGACAAATTCACCTCTACATTATCTCCGTACAGATTAAGCCTGTGGTTTTCATTGTTGAAGACTTGTGCAGGATAATTATTGCGGGAATTACAGGCCATATCATCTGCAAGCATCAGTATTATCCTCTCATCGGGTATACCCAGCCGCTTCACTGTCCTGCAAAATCAACGATAAGGATGGAAATCATAAAGAAAGCCACAAGGAGTTTGTTCTGCAAATAAAATAGCTAACCTGTATAAGGATAAAGTATTGGCCATGTGCCGATAATTGAACCTGAACCAAAAAAGTTAACGGGTCAATATAAGTGGCAACCTTGCTCTAGACTGAGGAATGAAGTTGCTGTTCATAGATAAACTGTCCAAGACTACCTCAATCTGCGACATGTTGTGCAATGTAATGAGATTGAGGATTAATAGAGAAGATAAAATGGAAAATGCTACTCTGATAAACTCGAACAACTATGTCAGCACATAAAATCCAAATTATGACCGATCATAAACCCATGGGACGAACATATCTAAAAAGTTATTTGGCTTCACGACCAGTTTTCTGCTAAAGAAACACAGTAAAAATTTAGACATAAAATTTGAGGTGCCATCCTCATTGTTATCGTCTCATCAAGCGCTTACGAACATTACATCAAGTTGTCCAGACCGTCAAAAACGTAAATCAAGAATACACTGCACGTGGATCATCAAAGCAGAGAGAGAGAGAGAGAGAGAGAGAGACAGCCAATTCATGGAAGATCAATTAGCTTAACCCCACACAAAACCCCAGCATTCCCATAATAGAGACACACAATTCACGAGAAAACAAAAAAGCAGATTGACGCAACGATCATCTTCATCATGCTGTCGAGCTAATTCAGGGAGCTCAATTCGCTTAACTCCACGCTCCGTTACCGACCGTTTCGGTAATCGCACGCAGTACATCACCTTTGCCGGATTCAGATAAGAAGTAGTATCGAACATTGCAAATTCAGGAAGATGAAGGGCGCCGTACCAGAAGCGGGATGTGCAGACCAAGACCGCCCAGTTGTTGGTGTGCATGGAGGTCTCGGCGGCGGAGGAGGCGGAGGACGGCGGAGGAGCAGCGCCGGCGAAACCGTTCCGACAACACGCGACCGAGAACAAGATCCACCATGCGGTCGCCATTCGCGAGAGGAAGGAGAAGCGAAATTGAGCGCGCATCTTCGATCGCGGTCGGGGTCTCCCCCCGCTTCTTCTTCTTCTTCTTCTTCTTCTTCCTCCTCTGATGGATTTCCTCTATTGCTCACAATCGCTGCTCAGGCCCGGATGAGCAAAATGGGCCGGACCCGAATCGTTTTATTCGGGTCGGGCATGCCTGAAGTCTGAACCCGAACCGGCTTGACTTGTTTGTCGCTATGTGTTGCGCATAGTCATTCGATGCAATTTGTGGCCACACATAAATTGTCTTGCAAGAACTTAGAGGAGAATTTATGGATTTAGTCATTCTTTGTTTCACGAAAAACTTGCTTGTATCACTTCAAAAAATGAATGAATGAAAATTCATTGCCCAAAAATAGTTAATCTATAAGTTGCAATTGCCCATTTCTAGTTTCTTCGCTCATGTTTTGGTTTTTTTTAATGATATCCAAGAGATCGGCCTCCAAGTCCTTGTACATGATGATCCACACCCTTTCGTTTTCCATTCTTTCAAGATGTCGTGTTCGTTCAGAGAATCTATGCAGCATAGTCTCTATGGTGGGAGAGACTGATCAGGGCAAAAGATAGTATGGGAAGTTTCATTGATCCAATGTGAGTATGCCGTGCAGTGGGGATGGAGTCAGATTGTGGAGTTGGTGCTTCTCTGCTTTAGTATGTATACTATGATCCCGGACCCATCGAACCAGTACAGAAGCATCTCCTTTTCCAATTAGGGTCTGCTCCTGTTCAATTCATCGAGCAAACAAGCCAAACAGATCATGTAATTGGACTGTGAAGCTGAGGAGCCATGGAATTGGTCGCGATCAGGGACATTCTTTTCTGCTGATGCTTGGTCGGGGTCGGGCGGTTCCGATTTCAACTTTTCGGAACTAGTCTTAATAGCAGGGTCAAAATTTATGTTTAGAATTTGCCCCTAACTCGAAATTAAGTGTGAAGTTGAGTTGAAGTATCGAGCTCGAGCAAGACAGTTAATACTGGATCGAGCGCGAACGAGTTTAGATTATGCAAATTGAGTCATATTCGAGGACAAATCCAGTTATTATTCCCAACTGCATTTCTATGATTCTACTAGGATGTTTTAAGCCCATGTAATATCCTTCTCTGCAAACCAACCATATGCTTCATGAGCTGACTCTGCTCACTTGCTCAGTGCTCGCATGGAGTGACATTCCCAAACTACTAGTCGAGACAGACATCCTTGTATAATCGTTGAGAGAGAACATCAACTTCTCTCATCGTCAAGAAACAGCTACAAGCCATTAAAAACTCAGACAAAACAATAGTTCAAGGTAAGGAGGAATCATCAGACAGAGCTTTCTAGGCTGCGATTGTCCATCAATATCGGCAGTTTAAGAACTGCCTCAGAGCCCAGTGCACATTGCATCATCTGAATCCCCCCCCCCCCCCCCAAAAAAAAGACCCAGATATATCACGCAGCAAAATCGTCCAAGAAAACATTTTCCCACCTTCAAAAAGAGATTTTCGAAAAAGTTGGAACAGCAAAGGGATCCTCAGCCAAAAATGCTTGTAGTTGTCATCAAGTCACAAGACAATCAGGTCTCAAAGATTCCATGCCATCATCGGAAACCCCCCCGCCACTGTTCAAGAACAAGATCGACCCCCCCACTCTAAAATAAAGAGAGACCCACAAAGAGACGACGAAGGGGAAACAGAGTTGAGAGATTTTGCAGGGTGTTTATTCACTGCGCCCGGTAGGAGAGAGCTGAGGCGAAGCGACTCAACTTCCCTGCACAACACTCTGCGCCTCCTCTCGACGTCAACGACGGAGGACGGCCCTTCAGATCACTAGCGACGACACGCCCGACCGGAGGGATCCCCGCAAGAGGCATCATGACTCGCACGATAAGTCTGAAACTGAACAAAGAAGAAGAAGAGACAGAGAAATTCAAGAACGTACAAGCGAATGACGGTCATCCTATGCGCAGCGCAGTAGTGCTCACCCATATCTGCGAGATTTATATAGAGAAGCGCAGGCATGGGGAAGAAGTAGGGTTTCCTCCTTTCCGGGTTCAGCTCCGATCTGGCAGACTTGATTCGGTCCATAAACAGAGCCCGGCCCAATCAAAATATCCTTCTCGAGAGCTTCAATCAAATTACAATCTTCAATCGGACTTATGATATAGAACTAGACTTATTGGCCTAGTGCAAGAAATGAAATATTTTTAATTCAAGTCAACAAAAGATAAAATCAAATAATTTAGTTTAATCTAATTGTCAGAGAAAATATGCAGTGGTTACTAGCCACTACGTCATCGACTTATGTGACGTCCATGCTCCATCCAAAAGCCGACTCTGATATGGCTTGGCTGGAAAATAGAAAATTAAAAAAGCTTTCTTTTCTCTCTTTTCGAGAGTAGAAAAGGACTGAGCAATAATAAATGCTAAAAATTAAAATCCCACTTCAAATTCTCTCTCTCTCCTCTTTTTCAAATTTCAATTTTACCTGCTCTCATGTGGAAGAACACTGAAGAGACTCTCTCTTTCTCCTCGTACCTCCGTTTAAAGTACGCCTTATATATAGAATCCCCCATTGCCTCTGCCTCTCCCAAGAGCCTCGCCAGTTGCAGTTGCTATTATTCGAGCCGTCTCCGTCTCCATCTCCGCCTCCGCCTCTGCCTCTGTCTTCGCTTCCGCCTCCGCCATCGCCTCTGGAGCCCTATCGGTGACTACGATTCATCACTTGACTCCTCTCTCTCTCTCTCTCTCTCTCTCTCTCTCTCTCTCTCTCTCTCTCTCTCTCTCTCTCTCTCTCTCTCTCTCTAGCACACACGATCATGCCAATGAATTTCAACAACTCGTCAATCATTAGGTAAGCTTTTTTTATTTTTATTTCGGGTCATTAGGTAAGCTTTTTTTATTTTCATTTCGGGTCAACCATGAGGTAAGCTTCGTCTCTCTCGCTCTCTCTCATCTTTCCTTGGCATTTCCTTCTTTGTATCTCTGTTTAAAGTACGCCTTATATATAGATTCTTCAGCAGTAGTTGATGCCGAAGCGCGAAAGAAATTAGGCTAAACAGAAGAATCGAAACGATAACGAGGAACAAACTGTTTTATCAATCGATTAATAATAAAAATATCCAAAGTCTGCTCAAACGAAACCCTAAAACAAGTTTATATATCCCCAAACCTAACCCTACTAGGATTAATAAACATCAAAACGCAAAATTATGAAACTGCCCTTTACTAAATTAACCCATAAAAAATACTAAAATAATAGAAAAACCCATCTAAACGACTCCGAATCGTGAAAATCCATCGTTATTCACAGTCAACGACTATGTGTATTGATCAGCACACCGTTTCACTTCAGTCGATTAAATTTGAGCTCAATCCGAGATCGTTGACTTTGAGCTCGTCGGTTTGTCTTATCGCGTAACGGGTCCGCTGGTCCCCTAGGTGCATCATCCTCCCCTGCTAGAGAAAGATTCATCCTCGAATCTGCTTCGTCTTCATTATCGTCAATCTCTTCAGGATCTTCTTCCTCTTCAGCGTAGTAAGGTGACAAATCTGCTACATTAAAAGTTCTGGATACATTATACTTACCCAGCAGATCGATCTTGTAAGCATTGTCACTAATTCATTCCAAAACTCTGAAGGGTCCATCAGCTCTAGGTTGAAGCTTGCCAAACCTACCCGCTGGAAATCATTCTTTCCTAAGGTGAATCCAAACTAGATCACCTTCCTTGAAGACGACTCTTTTCCTGCATATATCCACGCGCTGCTTATACTTCATGTTCTGCCTGTTGATATGATTATGGACCTGGGAATGCAGCTCTTTGATATGTTTTGCATGTTCTTCAGCTTCCGAACTAAATTGCTTGAGAACTGGTATCGGTGTGAGATCCAATGGAGTAATTGGATTACGCCTATAAACCACCTCAAAAGGAGTCTTGCCTGTAGTTCGGTTCTCAGATCTGTTATATGCAAATTCTGCCTGAGGCAATGCTAAGTCCCATTGTCGCGGATTATCTCCAATCAAATTCCGCAACAAATTCCCTAAGCTTCGATTGACAACTTCTATCTGACCATCAGTCTGAGGATGATGAGAGGAACTAAACTTCAAACTTGTGCCCATGTACCTCAAAAGAGTGCGCCAGAAGTGACTCACAAACTTCACATCACAATTTGAGGTTATGGACTTAGGAATTCCATGCAACTTAACAATCTCCTGCAGAAACAATCGAGCAACTTGTAAAGCATCATAGGACTTGCTACACGGGACAAAGTGGGCCATCTTCGAGAACCTATCGACAACCACCATTATTGAATCCTTACTTCGCTGCGTTCTTGGCAAACCCAAGACAAAGTCAAGACTGACATCCTCCCACGGTGCAACTGGAATAGGTAGAGGCATATACAATCCAGCATTAGTACTCTTGGTCTTTGCCACATGACATACCCTGCACCTCTCTATAAAACGCGTCACGTCACTCTCCATCCGAGGCCAATAAAAATGTTCACTCAACAAGGCCTTCGTCTTATCCACGCCAAAGTGCCCAGCTAAACCACCTGCATGTCCCTCAATAATAATAGATTCCCTAAAAAAACATTGGGAAACGCACAATCTGTTACCTTTAAATAGGTAACCCTCAACGATCTGAAATTGCTGAAAATGCTCCGTTTTGCTCTTCCTCCAGATATCCCCAAAATGAGGATCATCAACATATAAATCTTAAAAGTATCAAAGCCTAGAACTTTTACCTGCATTGTAGACAGCAAAGAGTGTTTTCTGCTCAATGCATTTGCCACACTATTTAGCACTCCCGCTTTATGCTTGATGGAAAAACTGAAAACTTGAAGGAACTCCACCCACTTCACATGCCTTGCGTTCAATTTGTGCTGCCCATTGATGTATTTCAAGGCTTCATGATCAGAAAATAAGATAAACTCTTTCGAAATAAGATAGTGCCTCCAATGCTTCAAACTCCTTACAATAGCATAAAATTCTTTATCATAAGTTGAATACTTCCTTTTTGCCTCATTCAACTTCTCACTAAAGAATGCTACAGGTTTACATTTTTTACTCAGGACACCCCCAATACCAACATCTGAAGAATCACAATGCACCTCAAAAATCTCATTAAAGTCAGGAAGTACGAGAACAGGTGCTTCAGTCACCTTCTTCTTTAATAATTGAAAGGCAGTTTCTGCTTCCTTAGTCCACACAAATTTACTTCCTCTCAGACAATCCGTCAGAGGTGCAATAATAGTACTGAAATCCCGAACAAATCTCCTATAAAAAGACGAAAGCTCATGAAAGCTACGTACCTCATGAATATTTTTCGGAATCTCCCAATTTGTAATAGCCTCAACCTTAGCTGGGTCCATCTGAATGCCCTCCTTGGTTACTATATATCCCAAAAAGGTCACACGATCAGTCAGGAAGTGACACTTCTTGGTATTAGCATATAATTTATGCTCCCTCAATGTCTCGAACACCCTTCTCAAATGCTTCAAGTGTTGATCAGTCGATGCACTATAAACCAAAATATCATCGAAATATATGACGACAAACTGGCTAATAAAAGGACGAAACACATGATTCATCAGTCTCATAAAGGTACTCGACGCGTTAGATAACCCGAAAGGCATCACCATCCACTCATACAGACCATCTCGAGTTTGAAAAGTGGTCTTCCACTAATCTCCAGGACGCACCCTAATCTGATGATATCCACTCCTCAAGTCTATCTTCGAAAAGATAGTCGCTCCGTATAGCTGATCAATTAAATCATCAAATCTTAGGATAGGAAAGCGATACCTGATCATGATCTTGTTGACAGCTCTGCTATCCACACACATTCTCCACGACCCGTCTTTCTTAGGAACTAACAAAGCTGGCACTGCACAAGGGCTCAAGCTCTCTCGAATTGCACCCTTTTCTAATAGTTCTTGCACTTGCCTCTGCATCTCCTCATGCTCCTTAGGATTCATTCTGTAAGCTGCCTTATTAGGAATAGCAGCTCCTGGAACGAGATCTATACAATGCTGAATGTCCCTCATGGGTGGCAATTCAGGTGGCAATTCTTCTGGTACGACATCAGCAAACTTCTCAAGTATAGGCAGAACTTGAGTTGAAATTTCTGGACTATCAAGATTCTGCTCCATGACTACAACGACAAAAAGCTCTGGGCATTCACCGTCTCCTTCTGGAACTTTGATTTGGAAAGCAAATTACTTTTCCCTTCTTTTCTCAAATATGAAGGACCTAGAGTAATGGTCCAACCATCCTTCTTGAAGGTGTACGTATTTTTGAATCTGTCATGCTGTGTTTTACTATCAAACTGCCAAGGTCTTCCTAACAGAATATGACAAGTATCCATTGGAACTACGTCACCCCACACTTCATTAGTATATTTCTTCCCAATCGAGAAATGCACGAAACACCTCTTGCTCACTTTTACCTCATTCCCTTTCCTAAGCCATGACAGCTTATATGATTGAGGATATTCGACAGTTTTCAAACCCAACTTTTCTACCATAGTGGTGGATATCACATTCTCGCAACTTCCCCCATCAATTATCATACTACACACATTTCCCCCACTAGTACACTTAGTATGAAAGATATTATGCCTGAGCCACGATTCATCATTTACCTTAGCAATATTTAAAACCCGACGCACAACTAAAGATTCACCAGAATCGGCATAGACAATGTCCTTCTGATTTGGATCCGCATCTTCTTGCTCTCCATCAGATTCATCATAAGTTGGGTCTTCATCAAAAGTTGGATTATCTACAAGTGTCACAAACTGTCGGTTCGGACAATCAGCAGCAAAATGCCCGAGTCCTTGACACTTGAAACATCGCTTGCCCGCAGCTCCTCCCCTGCTAGATCCAGCACTACCCTGCTCTCCTTTTATTGCAGATTTTGAACTAGCCCCCTTAATTGCCGCGGGGGCTGAATAACTCCCTGCTTTCCCTCGGGACTCTTTATCTGACCACTTGGAACTGCTGCCTGACCACTTAGAACCGCTGCTAGACCACTTGGACTTACTGCTCTTTCTTTTAAACTGCCCCTCCACCTTTAGGGCTAGTCTGCACACATCCTCATATATCCAATACTGCTGTAATTGGACAACATCAGAGATCTCATATCGCAGCCCTACCAGATATCGAGCAATCGTCTGCTCGTCTTCCTCCGCCACATCACAACTCATCCGCAAGCGATCAAAATCCTCTGTAAATTTCTCAACTATTTTATCACCTTACTTGACGTTATGATACTCGATAAACGCCCCTTGCTTATAATGGGTAGGCAAAAAAAATTTTTGCAATAACTTTTTCATCTTCCCCAGCGATCCACCTTCGGCTTCCCCTCTCTAGCGCGTTGCTTTTTCACGCGTTCCCACCAAATCGAAGCATGTTTTCGCAGCCTAATAGCCACTAACTTCACTTTTTGCCCCCCAGTTAGGTCTTTAAGATAAAAAAAAATCCATTCTACCGTATGTAACCAATCAATAAACTCATCAGGATGAACCTTATCATTAAACTCGGGAATCTCGATCTTCATCCTTAAATTTTGAGAAGAGCGTTGATTTCGAAGTCGTACTCCTCGATTCCGCCCCTGGTTCAGAACCCCGAAAGGGTTTACGTCCTCCTCTTCATCATCGGATGGATCCTCAGATTTTGCTTCTCCTTCGGATTGAGCGTCAAGCCCTGCCTCCGCAAGACGTCGCTCCAAATCCTGGATTCGCCTTCTTTGTTCCTGAATTTCTATATCTCGCAGGTCTCTCAGACGCGGCTATTCATCTGCATCAGGAACGACTCCACGCCCCCAGCCTCCACGAGCATGCTGTCTTCGACCACCTCGATTATGTTCAGCCATTGATTTAGGTAACCTATGCTCTGATACCAATTGATGCCGAAGCGCAAAAGAAATTAGGCTAAACAGAAAAATCGAAATGATAACGAGGAACAAACTGTTCTCTCAATCGATTAACAATCAAAATATCCAAAGTCTGCTCAAACGAAACCCTAAAACAAGCTTATATATCCCCAAACCTAACCCTACTAGGATTAATAAACATCAAAACGCAAAATTACGAAACTGCCCTTTACTAAATTAACCCATAAAAAATACTAAAATAATAGAAAAACCTATCTAAACGACCTCGAATCACGAAAATCAATCATTAATCACAGCCAATGGCTGTGTGTATTGATCAGCATGCCGTTTCGCTTCAGCCGACCAAATTTGAGCTCAATCCGAGATCGTTGACTTCGAGCCCGTCGGTTCGTCTAGTCGCGTAATGGGTCCGCCGGTCCCCTAGGTGCATTAGTAGCTCTAGCTTGAAACGCGTTACGACTCGGCTTCCGGATGCTTCGTGGCCCGTTGCATCAGACTCGAGTCTTAGTTATCAATGCCCCATCTAATATCTCATTTTGCTGGTGGTTCTTCCTTGTTTATGGGTTTCTCAAGGTCTTATAACACCCAATAGCTTAAAATTTTGGATCGGCATAACCTGCTTTATATGGGATTCATGTCATCTTAATTTGTTCTTTTATATTCCTCCACGTCGTGGTTTGTGACTCTTGTTAAGGTTGCTCTCCAATGATGGTTCAAACTTTTATAGCTGTTTTATTTCTGTTACTTTTTCATTCCATCTTCATTCAAGGAGATAGTTTATGAACTCTCAAATTAACTCTTCCGTTGCCTCTACTAATATTTGATAGGAGAGGTGGGAAAAGGAAAGAAAACATTTCATTTTGATGTGTTGCATATGGGAGGAAGTCTATATGGATAATATCGAGAGCTTTCTTCTCGACCATGCAATTCTAGTGTCGTAAATTCACACATGAAGAAAAGGATTAGTGGAGAATTCAGGGTGATTGACCTCTCCATACCAGCAGTTAGATGCAGAAAAGAGGTCATGATGCATGTTATTATGGTCTGTTTTCCTTGTGTTGTCAGGATTAAGGAAGACGACAGATTAATCCAAGCGGAGGGCATAGAGTCTCTTTTGGAAGCTGAACTTCGCAAAGATTGTAGAGAGAGGGGCATGCTTGGACTTCTCTCGGTGGAAGAAATGCGTCAACAGGTTCTCTTCTTAGTGTAATTAGTGGATCGGATGCTTGCAATAAATGGATTCATGTCATTGTGCAATTGAAATGCGTAGTGATCTGGCGGGAAAAGACAAATTTTTATTGTAAAATGTATTGAGTTATCTCTCTTGCTGAATTGAAATAGAAGAAAACTCACTCTGCCTTTTATCCTTGTGTCATCCTCTTGACAAGGACGTCGAGTTTATTAATTATATCAAAGTCAATCCAGAAATCTTAAAGTGTGACGACTGACTTGTTCTGCAGCTTAATGACTGGTTGGATTTGTCTCTCAATCAGTCATTGCCATCTTCTCTTTTGATCTTTTCCAGGTAAGTTATGTCTCATCGGTTTGTGTCTCATTTGATGTCCTTATGGTGGAGTAGCATTTTATTCCAAACCGCCACCCCTTGCCTGTTTGTTTTGTGTCATGCATGGACTCTGAGATTATGGAAACCGCTCTTGTGGGGCTAACGCTATGTATGTTTCATGACTCTCTTGAGATATTGAAATATGAGATGCTCATACTAATGTTCATTACCTCTTGGATGCAGAGCCTTCAGTGTTTCCAGAATGTTAACTCTTGAAGAAGCTGTTAGAGCTAGCGTATCATCACTTCCAGACGAAGTGATCGGAAACATCGGTGCAAAAGCTTTGTCAGCTGAAGATCCGGCTGAAGATGCCATTTCTTGTTTCCACTGAAGTGTTTGCTTTGCCTTTGAATAATGTGACCTCTCTGGTTTATGTCTATTGTGGATGGTCCAAGAGTCACTAAATCCTTGAAAATAAATAAAACTTGTCGGCGCAATTTGGGCAGATGGGAAACTTCTGCTGCAAGACATTGTAAGAAACGGAAGTCGGTCGGAAGATGCAAGACATTGAACTTTTCTGGATAGTCTCATTAGTGATTCTAGTTTCCATGTAAAGTCAAAGCTGGTCTTTCAATACAACGAAGACCTATCTGACTTGGTTTGGATCAATATTTGGTCTTTCAGACCATCAAACTTCATACCTTGTAGTATTTATTTCCACTAGGTCATCAGATTCTGTCTATGAGCAGTTCGTGACGGTTATAAGAACAACTCTTCTTGTTTGCGCACCTGATATCATACGAGCCACCTATCTATCTCAAAGGCTAATCTACCTTCATATTTCATTGGCTTTTTATTTGGCGTTTTCATAGTGCTGCCACACGTTTGTGATTATTACCTTTTCAACAAATTAAGCTAAGCTCATCTTTATGATTGGTGTATATAATTTGCATGATCATATAATTATCATTACTAAAGCAATCATCTTTATTTATATATGAACTGGAGTGAATTCCATTTGCAAATGATACCTAATTAATCATGAATGAAGCACTTCTACTTATACATCTCAATTATGTTTTTCGTGAAATCTCTGATGTTGTTCTCAGAGCTCCCACCTTCTTTCATAGCGATTCTCGCCCTCTCTCTCCACTTCAACGAATTTTCTTTGATCTCTTTCCCTCTCTCTCCACGCATGACCTCGTTTACGCAACTTTCAATTTCTTCGCCGGTCACAATCCCTTTCTCGTTTGCCTTGACCCTAAGACCGACCTTCCACACCTCCGCGATGAACGCCGCATTTGTTGGCTGGTCCGTCCACTGAGGCATCACCACCATCGGGACACCCAAGCTCACCCCTTCCATAGTCGAGTTCCACCCGCAGTGAGTCATGAAGCAACCCACCGACCCGTGGCTCAGCACTTGGAGTTGATTGCACCACTTCACCACCAAACCCTTATCATCTAGTAACTCCATATCTTGCATGAAATTGCAAGGGAGCTTCTTCTCTTCAGACTCTCTCACCACCCACAGGAAGTTGCTCTTCATTCTCTTGAGTCCGATTGCTATTTCCTCCATTTGCTCTTCTCCAAGGGAAGCCAAGCTTCCAAATGATATGTAAACGACTGAGTCGGCGTCCTTCGAGTCGAGCCACTTGATGCATGTCTCGGCATCGTTGGGTTTGAAGAGGCTGAGCCCGTAATCTTTGTCGTCTCCGATTCTCTTGTCCAAGTACATAGATGGGATCGTTGGTCCTACAGTGAGCGCTGGCCATTGACTCCCCATCCACTTTATCACCTACACATTTCAGGAAACATATATGCAATGCAATAAATCAATCGCCTGCACATTCAAGAATCAATTTAATTTCTATCGTTCTATCTACCATTCTTAGAAGAATTTATCACTCCTATCACAATCATAGTTCCAACCCTCTAACAAGTGTCTATTACTCTACTTTGTAAAAGGGAAAATGAGACGAATAATCCTTACAATTTGGCCTTATGTTCAATATTGTCTTTTTGTTTAACCAAACACGGGACTACCAGTCCTTAAATGATTGTCAAATGTGCAATCTATTTCCTAAAAATTCAATGTGTTTAATCTAGCCCCTCAACTTTCCACAACAAATTCAAGTCGGTCCTTCGGTAGTATCCACAAATTTTTATAATTACACTATTATCCATAGTTTAGAATATCTTCTCATTTCCATCAATCTCCTAAATAAAAAAATGCTAACTTTTTATTATCTTTTTTGCCTTTTTGGTCATTATGAATACTAGAATAGTTCAATTTAAGTATATTTTAACTTATGATTTCTATAATAGTAAAAGTATAACCTCAATAGAGTTGTATCATGTCGATAATCCTACTATATTAAGTTTTAAGTGTTTTCATAAAAATATTTAAAAACGATACTAATTTATCAATAGATTTTGTACTTATATAATTTACATGTTATTCCTAATTTTTTATATAGATAAATTATCAAGCTTTTGCATTTCGTGTTTTCTTTTAGTTAAATCTGTATCTTTTCCATTTTCTTGTCCAACCACTTCACCACCTACACATTTATCGAACATGTATATGATGCAATAAATCCATCGCGCAAGTGGAAGAATCAGTTTATTCCATCATTCTATCTACCATTCTTTGAGGAATTCAGCACTCCTGTCTCAATCCTCATTCAACCCTATAACAAGTGTCTATCACCCTACTTTGTAAAATTCCTTTTGTTTCTCTTGGAAAAGTTATTATGTAGGCTTAGTGAAAGTTTAACCATGTATCAAGAAATAATAGGATCCACACCTAGTCGAGCTCTCGTACAGTTTTTGGACTGTAATTGGTTTTATCCATCACATCATTTATAGTATCATCGTCTACCTACTGTTCTTTCATATGAGGGGATTTCAATGGGGGTGGAACTAACCTCGAGCTCGAGCTCAGTGAAGGTATTAAACAAGAGCCACTTTGCTCTCATCACGTTGGAGAACTGGTCCAGCACGAGTTTCACAAGCGCAGGATATGCATCAACATCGGCCACGAATGAAGGAAGATCGTTCAAACTCAGATTTGACATGACTGGAGGAACAGAAACATGCCCTTGTCCTTGTGAATCTTCCAGAGGAAGCTTTACCGTTCCTCGGTGAACCCAGTAAATGGCGCTAACCACGCAAGACTGAGTGAAGAACGAAGCTCCGTGCATGCCGTGTTGTATCGCTAAGTCAAGAGCCCAAGGCATGACCGAGTCATACACAAGAACTTTTGCTGGATTATCTTGAGAAGATTGATGTTGTTCGATGAAATTGGTCAGGCTCTTTATGACCGAAACTTTGAAAAGTTCGAAGTAGACATCCAGGCTCAGCTCGTCGGTGTCCACGCCCTCGAACCCGTCAGATATCTGCTCAATCTTGATCGAACTCGTTGCGTGGTTTATCGAATGGAGGGACTTGGAAGGTTCGGAGATAGGGACTATGAAGGCAACGTTGAGACCCTTAGAGGCTAAGCGTTTCGAGAACTCGACCATCGGGTTTATGTGACCTTGTACTGGGTAAGTGAGAACAAGAACATGGGTTAGTTTGAGGATCCTCTCATTTTTCTGTTCCTCCATTTCTTGTGGAGCTTCAACTCTTTCAGAAGCAGATGGAATGGGAGAGAGAGGTTGATACTCATATCGGGAAGCATTTCACTGAATATATAGAACCAGATATTGCGCACAAACATCAATCAGCTGAATCGTTTGAATGGTAGTTATACGGATTGGATGAGTGTTCATCACTCAAACCCAACTCGTACTTTCATTTAATTTGAATCACTCGTCGTAGTAGTACTGTCTCCGGGTGAGCTCCTAGTGCGTCTAATAGCTAGCAAAAGCCACAAAATTACAAGCAAAAAGTAAAATTGAGAAAGCAAGAAAACTGGCCACTGGCCTACCTACTTTCACGAGCGCGAATGATGAAGCGCAAAAAATTATCTAGACTAATTTGAAAAGCCTCTAGAAAACCCTTAGTGTTGAATACACAATCAAATCTCACTCATTTTGAAATATTGCAAAAGCGAACATATATATTTATGTCAAAACCCTAGAATGGAATTTTATAATAACCCGACTAGTCCTCCTCTTTCGTCACAAATCCTATGAAAATTCGCCAGGCAAAATCGTTATCGGACTCTGTGAAGCTGGTCTCCTTCATGTGTTTTCCTATTACCTGTTATACAGCTTCGAACTTCCACTATCTTATCCATATATAATGCTTATACACATAAGTGAAGTGACTAAGTCTAGTTAATGAACACGAATCAAGTCCTTTTTTACACGCTTAGGAAAACACATGAAGGAGACCAACTGCTCAGAGTCGTTTTAACGTGTACCTATTTAGATTTAATTTCATGCAAAAGCACATGACAATCAAGTATATCATATATTCTAGTCAACCACGTAATTATTCGGATATATGATTCTCAATTCGTTCACGCAACCTCGGGCGCGAGTCTTGCCACATCTGGTCAGGCCATTAGTGGGGACAGAATGCCTCAGACAAGCTAGTGGTGAGCGACTCATTCACATAAAGCAAGTGAGATATACAGCGAAAGGTTAATGTTTCATTTTTCCAATGACGAAGAAACGTAAAACGTAATCATTCTTGCAATTCACTTGTCTTATCGACCATTATATAAGTTAAGCATATAGCTCTTTCATCCATTATCTGGTAGGGTTTCCATAACTTTTGCTGAACAATGTGCGGCTATGAAACATTAGTATATGCCATCTAAAGAGGCGCCATCCGAGCTACTTGCCAATTTCCAAATTGTCTGTTGCTCAATTCTGTAAAAACTACACGCCTTGTATATTTGTAGTTGTCTCCAAATAATTACATTATTAATCACTGTTAAAATATTATCCTACATCGCTTGACTTTAAGTCTTATAAGCTCTTTATATTCACGTGGTATCCCTCCACTTATTAGTTCAAACTTTTAGGTTGCACTTTCTAACATGTATCAGAGCCAGTGCAATCCCTTGGATTGGACTTTCTAGCAATCACTTCAATGAAGATGGGAGGATATAGGTGAACAACAATTAAAATCATATTGAGGGTTTCTCGCTTAGTAATTAAAGGTTACCTATCTAAATTTCGTTAACATTTTTAACAAGTTTATTAAATTTGCAGGATGTTCCTCCAAGTAGGTCCCAACAAAGAGAGACCATAAATTCCAGAAGGAGGCAAGGCAGCACAAAAAACATGAGCTGGCAACGACAGATGCAAAATTGACGTCACTGCTTATCGAAGCAAAAGGGGAAGTTTTCTGCAAATCAAAAAGAGAGCTTCGAATTTTCCACGTGATGCATTGAATAGGATGGTCCAAACGTGTGGTGATTACTTATAACTACGTACCTTGTCCATGTTCTCTTTGTCAATCTTAGAAACACAAGAAAATTAATAAAGAAAAACAAACAAAAAAACAAGTCATTCTCAAAGTCGTCAAGTTGGATTTTGTATGTAGCTTGGTAGTCTAAGGTTAAGCATGGAGACGGCAAGAATAGGGAAATGAATATGATTTTGGTTTTAATGCCGGTGAGAAAAAGAAATAGTCCAATCTGCGATGTAGCTAGATCATCATTTGTGCAATTTAAATACTCAAAAGCATTGGTAAGTTAGTAAAAAGTTGCTAATTTGCAAATTATGTATATAAAAAGAATTGGTAATTTGATAAAAGGGTTAGAATTACCAAATAAGTTTCCAACTATATTGCAAGTTGGGAAAGTTACGACACTTTTTGTAATGGATAACAACTAATCACGTTTTTTTTTTTGGTAAGTTAAAAAAAAAAAAATTTTGGTAAGACTAATCACGTATTTAATCTCTATCCAAAGCCGAAAAGTTTTTTTCTCTCCCTCTTGCTCCTCTCATCGTCTCCTTCAACCTTCAACTGTGAGGAGGGTTTGAGCCTAAACACCCCCCCCCAACCCACCCCCCGTCTTTGATGTTGATTTTATTTGTGTTTTATTGTTCTTTTATTGTTTTTTCCTCTCTCCCGATTTAGATCTTGGAGATTTCCTCTCTCGGTCTTGTTCTAGACCTAAGAGTTTGAACTCTCCCAATCTAGTTCTTTATCTAAGAGCTATCCTCTTCCGATTCAGATCTAGAAGTTTAATGCTTTTGGGGATTCGATACCCCTCTACTCTATCCATGTACAAGTTCTTTACTCCAGCTTCAATGGCGATTGAAGGAGTTTTGACGTCTCGCTGAACCACGAAGATTTATTCTTTCGGTGTGTGCTCATCATTGACCAAGATACAAGGTCCAGAGATCGGTTGTCTATTATTTTGCTTGACAGATCCATTCTTGTGAAATGAATATGCGCTTAACCCTACTGGTGCTCCATTGATCCTCCTTATTTTTTGTATTTGGCTTTGTTTTATAGCTTTCAAGCCAATTATTCATTTAATCAGAGTAATTTTCAAAGTTAGATCGTAAATTCGATGTTATGTCAAATTTGAACTATGAGGTTCGATTGAGGAGTTGTCGAGTTGTGAATATATATGAAAATGAAAGTTTAGGTTGTTATGGAGCCGTAGGATTTGATGAAAATCGATTCTGAAGTATGGTTTGATCAAAATGAATTTTGGAAGTTTTGCATTTGAGTTACGCGTAACTGACAATATGAGTAATGGAGAAAGATGAATGTCCTTTATAAACGAGTTTCTTCGTTAATGAGTAGAAATCGATTCATTGACGATTGAGCGTGATTTAGTCAAATTGTTCATTGGAGTAGTGTTTTACTCGGATTTTGATATTGTTTTTTGGTTAATTGATAGGTTTACGAGTGCGTCGGCTCAAGTAACCTTCGTAAGTGGGTTTTCAGCTTTCCCAGGTGAGTGGTACTATTTTTTCTATGAGTTTGTGAACTCATGTCTTGAAAGTGATAAAAATCTGAACATAGTATGAGTTATGAAAGAGCATATTTGTTGCATAAAAAAATATGAATTGGGCATTTATTACTTTTCGGTTATTTGTGAATGGTTTGAGAAATATTTTATGAAAAACATTTTGAAATATGTTTAATTAAAGACGTTGCAAAAGATTATACATATTTATTTGTTAATCTAGATTATGAAATAAATTCCGAAATGGTTGAGAAATATCTTATGAAATATATTCTATTTGATAAATGGAGTTATGAAAGAATATATGTTTTGGCTTGTAAAATGTATTCTGATTATGAGATGGATTTGGATTGGTCATGTAAATTATTGGGATGATGGATTGATGTTCATGATCTCCGTGAACCCAGTGAAGAGTTGCGAGTATGCATATTGTACAAGAGCTAAGTTCTACACAGGGATGCGAGTCTCGTGGGAGCCACCTCTAGTGCCTTGTAGGCTTGTACTATTCAAGGGCTAAGTGCCACACAATGATGTGAGTCTCGTGGGAGCCACCTCTAGGGCCTTGAGATGTGACGTGATATGAGATTGATTAGTGGAATAGGTTATTGATGCGTCTTTAAGGAAGAAGGACAGTTGTGTCATTCTCCTTTTCTAGTAGAAATCGGGGTGTGACATTATCTTCTTAGTGCAATTAGTGGATTGGATGCTTGCAATAAATGGATTCATGTCATTGTGCAATTGAAATGCGTAGTGATCTGGCGGGAGAAGACGAATTTTTATTGTAAAACATATTTAATTGAATCTCGCTTGCTGTCTTCGAGATTGGCCAAGGATTTTCCCTGAATTGAGATAGAAGAAGACTCACTCTGCATTTTATCCTTGTGTCATCCTCTTGACAAGGATGTCGAGTTTATTAATTATATCAAAGTCAATTCCGGAAATCTTCCTTAAAGTGTGACAACTGCCTTGTTCTGCAAAATAATAATTGGTTGGATTTGTCTCTCAATCAGTCATTGCCATCTTCTCTTTTGATCTTTTCCAGGTAAGTTATGCCTCATCGGTTTGTGTCTCATTTGTTGTCCTTCTGGTGGAGTAGCATTTTATTCCAAACCACCACCCCTTGCCTGTTTGTTTTGAGTCATGGACTCTGAGATTATGGAAACCCCTCTTGTGGGGCTAACGCTATGTATGTTTCATGACTCTCTTGAGCTATTGAAACATGAGATGCTCATATTAAAGTTTATTACCTCTTGGATGCAGAGCCTTCAGTGTTTCCAGAAAGTTAACTCTTGAAGAAGCTGTTAGAGCTACCATATCATCACTTCCAGACGAGGTGATCAGAAACATCGGTGCAAAAGTTTTGTCAGCTGAAGATCCTGCATCGGAAAGAAGAAGGAAATTAGAGTATCTTCAGATGCAGGAAGAGGAAGAAGAACAGGTAACAAAAAACCATTTTGGAGTTCGCCAAGAAAATGTACATTTAAAGCCAATGGTTTCTCCAGAAGCAAGGGTAGGACAGGGAAGAGCGAGAGCAAGCAAGAACACAGGCTAAGCGTAAGCAACTCCATGAGCTAAGCTGTCCATTGGCTGTTCTGGCTTCAGCATCGCTAAAGATTTAAACAACCATCATCCGTTTTGTCATTACTAATTTTTGCTTGATGAAAAGATAGGTTGTGGCTGCTGCCACTCTACTCATAGTTTTATAGTATTAAATGAATACCTAACTCTAATGTCTTTCACAAGGTACAACAATTCATGAAGCGAAGTTTTTACTTGATTATTTCAAGCTTTTGAGCTTCATTTTTATATTTCTAAT